GTGAAACCGTAACTAACAGTTAGTGTGAATATGAGTCAAACCACAACTAAAAGTTTAATGAATATATTGCAAGTAAATTCATATAAAAAAAATCTTTTACGAATTGAATGATCATCTATCTTTTGAAGACTTCAAGATACTAATAAACAGAGATGTTGTACTAGATTAATGTGTTTATAACTCATAAATAGTAGATTATGTGGCCACAAGCTTGGTTGAAGGAAACAATAACGATATTTCAGTTGAGAGAGATCCCACAAAAAACTTTATTTTCGTTTTATTTTTAATCTATTTTTATTAATTTAAATAATCATGATATTTAACCACGTGCATTGCACGTGCATCTCAACTAGTAATCTATAATATTAATAGTAATATTCCAAAGTTAACAATCAATGATTAAGTTTAACATTTAGACTTAACATTTACTGTATAAACTTAATGGTTATGCTATGAACTTAACATACAACGAGTAAAGTTAACCTCATATTTCATGATCAACATATATAATTAGCTCCTTAACTTTCCAAAATAGTTATTCACCCTAAATGTCACACAACATTCACGGGGGAACTTGCAAATAACCCATGAAAATATTACAAATAGCCTCCTAAAATCTTAGAAATTGTAAACAATCCCTTGAAACTTTGCAAACAGCCCCCAAGAAGTTTCAGGATTGCATAAAAACCTTGATTTTTTTTGTGAAAAACATCTGAAAGTTATAGAAATTGAAAATAACCCCTATCATTTTGCAAACAACCCCTATAATTTCACAATTTGCAAAGAAAACATTGTATCTTTTGCAATAAAGCCACCAAAAGTTTAAAAAGTATAAATAACCCCATGAAAATTTTGTTAGAACTCCCCAAAATTTTAGAAGTTGCAAATAATCCATGACAATTTTATAAATGGCACCTTAAAAAGCTAGAAATTGCAAATAACCCACTGAATTTTTTACAAAACTTCTATGGTTTTGCAAATTACTGCTTGAAATTTTGTAAATAGCCCCCTATAATGTTTGCAAACAGCCCCTTCAAATTTGGGGCTTAAGCACATGAGATTCTCAAAGAAAGGGCCTAAGCACAATTTTTCCTTTTGAATTTAATTTAACATAGTCCATAAACTTTGTTCAAGTGGATAAATACGATAGTAAATTATGGGAGTTTAAGAAAGGTCTAGTACAAGACTAGTTCAAAGATGACCAGAGGAAGGTTTTTAAAGTCAATTCTCAAGCGATGCTCCGACCATTTTCATATATTCATATATAGCGAGTAACATTATATATATAGAAGCTATTTTCAAAGCTCAAACCATATGATTTGCTATGAAAAAGTCTCCCCCAATATTACGGGTTTTTTTTAAAAAGAAAAGTCTACAGTTTAGATCCAGAATAATGGGCAGAAGAGTTTATATATAGAACTGTTGCTGTAATGAATTTTAATAGAGTTGTGATTAGAATATATAGGAGTGACTTATAAATATTTAGTTTGGAATGAATAAAATATTGACTATAACAATTGAGAGATCATGACAAGGTTTACAAACTGGTTCAAGGTTTGACAGAAAACGAGAATGGAAAGCCACGGTTCAAATACTTTTATGGCTAAAAATCATAAAAACCCCCTTAATTTTGGACGATTATAAAAAAGCCCCTTAACTTTCAAATTATTAGATAACCCTCCTAAGGTTTAGGTGTTATCAGAAAACCTCCTTTAACTTTGAGATTTTATCAAAAAAAAACCCTAAGCTTGGGGGTTTCTGATAAGATCTCAAAATTAAAAGGGTTTTCTGATAAAATCTAAAAGTTAAACTGTGTTTTGTGATAATCCTTAATACTTATGGGTTTTTTATAGTTTAATTAAAGTTTTTTTTTTTTTTTTGGGGGGGGGGGGGGGGGGGGGGTTTTCAATAATCGTCCAAAGTTAAGGGGGTTTTCTGATATTTATCCTATTTTCATTGATTAATAACTAGAGAATGTCATCCTCTTTATTTTAAGTTGCAGCTATTGAAGAGTATTCAATTACTGAAATTATTGCCTTCTTGTCCAAATTCAAAGTATAAGATGAGCCTAATTAGGTGCGATAAGTGCGAACCGTGCGATGTCATCCATCTCACTTGTTATTAAAAAAGTAAAATTGATTTTTGATTGTATTCGTTTCGTAAGGTTTTTTTTTATAATTTAGAGCTTGACTTCTAAACTGAAATTGCTTTTAGGTTCCTCAAATCCTAAGAAGCATTGCATTTTGGTCAATCAATGACTCAGTTAATGTTCTTTTTTTTAACACATAGGGGTTTTGATTAGAACATAAACTGAGGGATATATCGGGTCACAGATGGACTAAATTGCAATATCCTTCAAATTTTGAGATACTAATGAACAATTTGAAATTACCCTAGAGGGGGGAGGGGGGAGGGGGTGAATAGGGTAATGTGCTAATCTAATCCGATTTAATACCAATGAAAAACTTATTAACAAATATCCTAGCAAGTATGATATTCA